TTTACGTCCTGTTTTTCCCCATGAATAGAGCTTTAAGTGGCATTTGATCACCTGTGCGATTTTTTTTTTTTTTTTTTTTTTTTTTTTTTTTTTTTTTAACATGTCCAGTACAATTTGTAAAAAAAAAAATAAAAAAAATTATTTTTGTCATAAGTTTAGGCCAAAATGTATTCTGCTACATGTCTTTGCTAAAAAAAAAAAAAAAAAAATCTCAATACGTGTAAATCAATAGGTTTACGTGAAAGATATAGGGCTTACAAATGGCGGTATTTATACTGGTATTTTTTATTTTTACTAGTAATGGCAGGGATCAGCGACTTATAGTGGGACTGCAGCAGGCATTCTGACAACACAGTGATCAGTGCTAATAAAAGTACTAATGCACTGGGCAGGAAGGGGTTAACATCTGGGGCGATCAAAGGGCTGTGTGCTGTGCATGTGCTTTCAACTGTAAGTACACTTCTTTGCATGGCTCTGGAGGTGACAGGGAGAGAACTGTATTCACATACAATTCTCTTGCTCCGTCGGTAATGCTCATCGATCACCGGCGAATAATCACCAGCCGGGAATTGGCGACAGAGCCAAGGCCACGAATAGCAGTGCAGGTAGGGTGCACGTCCCCTACCCGGAAATGCAAAGTCATATATATATAAATATATATATATATATTTGTGATTTTGCGCACCCATGCTTCCCGGTAGCAGTATTACTGCTGTAGAGCAGACAGGAAGTGGCAAAACAGAACAAGTCTGCATTTTTGTGCCATTTAAAAAACAGAAGTGAATGGAATCTTTTTTTTTTCCTTGCAAAAATGTGACTGAACAGATGACACCCATGTGAAAGGAGCCTTAGAGTGCCCCCAGCAATAGTTTTTTCTTCTTTTGGGATAAAGGTTTTGCATGAATATAAGCTGATCATTGTAAGCACCGCCGCAAGTGGTAGTTTGTCTCAACACTAACTGCTACATTTGCAGGACAGCTTGTTCTGTTGAAAATCAGGCTTGCGATCATGAGATAAAAGAAAAGAGCCTAAAAATGAAAAACTAATGCAGCCATCATTGGTAAGCTGCAATATAATAAAATGTTTGCTTTTGTGTTTAATCCTGTCTACCTGAAAACATTTTAGGTTTAGCACAAGTAACATATTTGACTCTGTCAACTTTTTCTCAGGGCTCCCGTGGGGTATATTTGTATGCAATTACCCAGGTCTTCACCACTTACTACAGCCATTACAAAGGGTCTGAATGTTTCCAGATTAACTACTTTTTAAATATTAAGAATATATTGTGCAAAACTAAACTCCAACCCAAGGTGGAAAAGTGCAAAACTGAAATGTGGTAGCATATTTCAGAAACTGAAGTTATCAGCTTCTGCAGACTTACCCTTTAAAAAAAACATTGACTCTAAGCTCACAAACTGAATGTAAAGGCGATAGAAGTGCCCTTTTACACACACAATAATTACTTGCAGCTGGGAAACACTAAGCTCCAGAAAGAGAAACTGCGCCAAGTCTTCTCAAATAGTAGGTTATGTGAACAATGCGAATGAACTGGTCAGGTGGTCTCCGCCAAAACAGAGGACAGGTGTGTGGGCACAGCACTAATTTGCAAGCTCTGCCACAGTATCAGACCCTTTAAAAAAATGTGACCAGTTGCACTGCAATAATCAACCTGCCACAAGGGGTTACCCAGAACGCAGGCAAGTATTTTTTAGCTGCAATTATCCTTTTAATGCTTAATGGAAAACTGCAGTGAGGGGGGGGGGGGGGGGGGGGGGGGGGGGGGGGGGGGGGGGGTGGGGGGGGGGGGGGGGGGGGGGGGGGGGGGGGGGGGGGGGGGGGGGGGGGGGGGGGGGGGGGGGGGGGGGGGGGGGGGGGGGGGGGGGGGGGGGGGGGGGGGGGGGGGGGGGGGGGGGGGGGGGGGGGGGGGGGGGGGGGGGGGGGGGGGGGGGGGGGGGGGGGGGGGGGGGGGGGGGGGGGGGGGGGGGGGGGGGGGGGGGGGGGGGGGGGGGGGGGGGGGGGGGGGGGGGGGGGGGGGGGGGGGGGGGGGGGGGGGGGGGGGGGGGGGGGGGGGGGGGGGGGGGGGGGGGGGGGGGGGGGGGGGGGGGGGGGGGGGGGGGGGGGGGGGGGGGGGGGGGGGGGGGGGGGGGGGGGGGGGGGGGGGGGGGGGGGGGGGGGGGGGGGGGGGGGGGGGGGGGGGGGGGGGGGGGGGGGGGGGGGGGGGGGGGGGGGGGGGGGGGGGGGGGGGGGGGGGGGGGGGGGGGGGGGGGGGGGGGGGGGGGGGGGGGGGGGGGGGGGGGGGGGGGGGGGGGGGGGGGGGGGGGGGGGGGGGGGGGGGGGGGGGGGGGGGGGGGGGGGGGGGGGGGGGGGGGGGGGGGGGGGGGGGGGGGGGGGGGGGGGGGGGGGGGGGGGGGGGGGGGGGGGGGGGGGGGGGGGGGGGGGGGGGGGGGGGGGGGGGGGGGGGGGGGGGGGGGGGGGGGGGGGGGGGGGGGGGGGGGGGGGGGGGGGGGGGGGGGTACCTGTATGTGCAAAACTAACCATAATCATCATTTAAAACTTAAAGGCACAAAAATCCTGTGCACAACCACCCTTAAAAGAACAATAATTGACAAGCTGCCATTACAACTTGTTTTTAAAAAGTGCTTGGCTCCAGGGTTATCCTGATCCTGCATATATGGGAAGCCTACAGATGTCAAATTTTAAAACTATGTTTTTTTCCTCTCATGGGATAAGTAAGTCACCACGTTTAGCTAAGAGAAAAAAAGAAATACAGATCTCTACTCATTAAAAGCTGAATATTTCCCTCATTTGCATAGCCTCCCTGCCAGTAGCCATTGACATTTATCTGAATCAAATTCCCCAGTAAACAAATGTTGCAGGACAACTGAAAATGTGGCGTAGATTATAGTTTAGTCACCAGTAAAACTATTTTCCATTTTATCAGTTGCAAGGTCAAAAACTTAGGCACCACTGCTAAATTAATAGCATTCATGACAATCGCTTTAAATGAGATGGTGTCAAAGTAAACACTGATTTATTTAAAGTGTCACTAAACCCAGGACCCTGCGTTCACTCTATCTGGTCTCCCACAGTACACAGAACATGGAAATACAATTATTTTAGTAAATCTAACTGCTGCTGAGAAAAGGTATTTAGCAGTTTAGAACAGTCTTGTGACTTCTATCAGTGTTCAGCAGAGCACTGGTTAAAGCTTGTAGGAGGAGTTTTCACTTTGCTCTAGGAGGATGTATAACCCCTGACCTCTGTCAGGACAGTGCTGATTGGCCCTGTGCTGATCACATGCACTCTCCCAAGAAAAAAAAAAACCTCTCTTGCACTACACACCAAAACTGAGCATGTGCAGAGTCTCCCCACACATGTCTTATCAGTAGATAAGGTCCACTGGAAGAAGGGGAGGATCAGAAAAGTCAAGATAAAACAGAATTTAAACACAATGCAGAGGATTAACCCCTTAGGTTCCACAGTGAGTATATCAAGCATGCTTTCCTGCATATACAGACTGATTTTCCTGTTGTGGGTTTAATAACACTTTAACAGAGTAACAGTGAAGGACAATGGGAGTTTTACAAATAAGGCCTTTCCACTATAACAACCAGGAAATATCAAAAGGTCATCTCTACAGAAAAAAAAAAAAACCCCTCAAACTGCACTGGCAATATTAACCTTTAATTTGGTCCCTTCACAATTATGCACTGCACAAAAACACTGCACTACTTTGTTATTCATTTATTTAGAACAGAAAGCAGTGGCAGAATTTTTGTTATATTAGTCTACCCTAAATGAATGGACAATACCTGAATGCAAGAAATACTGCACTAAAACAGTTGGTTGGTGTGAAGGTGCCCTTAAACTGGCCATACACTGAGCTTTTTTGTTCAGTCAGGAGGCTGAAAAAAAAAAAAATGTCTACCATCCACACACAAACAAAGTGGAACGAGGAATCCCCCCTTCTGGGAATCTATATTTTGACAGCTGCACCAGCTGCTACCAAAATACACCGATTAGTGCCACTGTGACCAAGCCCTCTATGGGCAGGGCAAAACATGGCAGAGGGCGTGGCCAGAGTGACGGCTGAGGCCATCCACAATACAGCATCTTCACAGGACTCCTCAGGACGGGTATGAGCAGACGTCCATTTTTTTCTCCCTGCACATTACCTCGTTTCTGGTATAACTTGGGACGCTGCTGTAATTGTGTTTTCTACAGCTTTGATCAGCGCCATACGTCTGCTACATGGTTCTCACACAGATTAGTGGCTGCAGATTAACGGAAAATTTTCCAACATGTCCCTTCAACAAAAGTCGAGTAAACAATTGACTTATGTGTCTGGCCTTTACTTGTATAGTATACATTATAGAAAAATACACCTCAGGTATGAGGTCATTTGGCTTTGTAACCATCTGAGGCAGTTGGAAGAACTGCAAATTCAGGTGGGGAAATCTGAACACTGGCATCCCAGATAAAAAAAAAAAAACCCACACTATTCAGTACAACTACTCAGCTCTAAGTACTAAAAACAGTTGTCTGATAAGGTTGGAATTGTCAGTCTCTATTGAAATAAGTAGAGATTGCTTAAAGGTAGAAGAAACATGATAAAAAATGGTTTGGTTATTAAAGCACAACATAAGGAATCTCACACCATATTTAAACTATACCAAATGATTATTAATCATACTGTAGATCACAATACAGCTGTGAATATTCTGTTCAAACTTTGATACATTAGTGTCTATAAAAATGTCTTTGGCCTACCTACCCTGATATTAATGCAGATCAGCATGTTCTAGGGTACTAATAAGCTAGCCTTTAAATCCTTATGTAAAAATTACATAGTGATATGATTTAACATTGTCAGGAGACAAAGTTCATGCCAAATAGACAATAGTCCCCTTTTGAACTCCACATTTAAATGGCACTTGAAGGCATAAGAACAGAAGCAAGACACTATGCAATAGGTTACTTATTTTGGTTAAATGATCCACCTTCTACTCTGCTTTCCAGGTATTTGTCCAATTCCGCTTCTCTCTTCACTGCCTCTGGGGACACTTTTGGAGCACTTGGAAAACAGATCAATATGACACTCATGTTGTCTCGGCTTCCCTAGAAAATTAAAAAAAAAAATCCTTAATTTTTCAACCATCTTCTGTAACAGAATACAGTGAACATCTTTAAAAGTAATCAATTACCAGGTAGAGCAAGCTTGACATGGCTAAAAATGTATTGGTCCACTTCAACTACTACTAAACACACACAACATAAAATTAGCTCTTGATCAGTTCCACTAAAATATTACAGCCACTAAGAATCAATTGGTGCATTAAACAGCACATTAAAATGGTCACAAACGGAGGAAATTTAAAGCATGCATGCTATGGGGAAAAAAAAAAAGGAAAATGTTTTGAGCACAGCAAATCCTTCTTTGAAAATGGCAAGATGAAAAAGTAGATTCAGATGTACAGGCAGCTAAAACTGAACAAGTTTCAAACTTTTTCATTAAGAGTTGGGAACTGCATATGACTTCAGATTCCTACATCTCTCGATCTGGTTGTTTTGATCATACAGTTTTTACAGAATGTAATCATCACACCTGCAAAAGATAGTAAGTAGGTCCCATTGCCCCCCTCCGAAAAGGAGGGAGGAGCCGCCTTCGATACCTGACACCATGTTCATCTCAAATTCTGACTGCACATTGTAAGAAGTCCATATATGGGGGGAAAAAATTTTGCGCTTTGTACATTCACTATATAGCATCAACATAATTTGGGTAGATTTTGAATAAGAAAAATGGATACAGAGATGAAGGGGGCTGACCACACAGTTCATAAATCCAGGGTGAGGGTTTCCGCCTATGAGTAAGAACTGTTCTCTGCTCCACAGCTCAGAGGTGCTTTACAGATCTCAGGGTGCCTGGCTAAACCCCACAAACTTGGTCTATATTAAAAGTGGACCTTTGCTCTCTATCACTTGCATTAATTTTCATATCCTGTCCCCTCATGCTACAAAAATTGGACATTAAAAACATATTGGAGGGGGGTTAAGTGCTCTCTGTAAAATACAGAACCGCACTTTCTACTTTTTTGCCTGGGCAAAAATTACATTTCCTGCCCCCCCCACACCTTAATACTACTGGGATGCTGGCGTCTCACATTCCTGGAAACTTTGAGCGATCTTAGCCTCACTGTGTATGCTCCAGGAAAATCTCTGTAGCACTACAAATGCACTGAAATAATCTCCCTCATAATGCACATGCACCTCTGTGTGTCATGGTGGGGCAGCTCAAATAGCATTAAGAGACAGCTGGCCTCCTGGTGACATCACATGAAAGTGCCGGCTGAAGCCTAGTACACAATTTTTTTTTTCAATCCAGATGACTGAAAAAATACCTGACAGCTCAGGAGGGCTAACTATCCGATGTTAGTACAGCAATCATCCCCGCAGTGCTATTGTGTTCCGACAGGGGAAACAACCCCCTCCACCAGAACACTCCAGTCAGCAGACCTTTTTTTGGTCATGCCCGGTCGACAAAAGCCAGCCAAATGGCCGGCTTTTGTCACACCGGCTGCCATACATTTGGGCCAAATGTCGGCTGGCTTCTATTGAACCTGCCGATGCTGCCCAACATTCAGCCTGTGTCTACTAGGCTTTACTGCGCCTTCTCACAATGCAAGTCTGAGTCAGCTGATTCACTGAACTTAACACACTATACACTATGTAGTTAGTATCTTCTCTCAAACTCTATGTAGTTTGCATCTTATCTCAATGAGATGAGGTGGCTGCACTGAACCAGCAAAAGATCTTTCTAATGGCTAATCCTTTATACTTAAAACTTTGAAAGAGCAAGCTTGCAAAATGTGCTAAAAATATTACAACTTCTCAGTAGGTGATCACTGAAAATATGTTGGGGAGACACTGGGGTAATATTTATCACTGATTTATTAGGTTAGAGCCCAAGTTATAAATTCCTATTTTAACTGCTCTAAAGTCACACTTGCAACTGAATGAAAGCTAGCCCTGACCCATTAATTAGGTGTATTTAGAGTGTAAATTTGTCTTCTCTATCTTTGTCAATTGTCACACTTGGATGCCCAGGAATACAGATACAGAAATGTTACTGAAGGAGACAGTGCCTGACTCGGAATGCATTGTTTTATTAATTTTCTTGATAAATTTTCCCCATTATGCTTTGTCTTTGTTGGACAAGGCATTGAGGATTTGGAATGTTGGTCAGGTTTTTTTGTTTTGTTTTTTTATTGCCTGTGTCTGCACTAGAGACATGGATTCTGTTTTTTTGAGGTTAGAATTATCATTAGGACTTAAAATGAAGAAATATTCAATGTTTTGAGTTGTCACTAGAACAGGAAGTGATACATTATCAATGGGGACACCTGTTCTAGTGACAGACCAAGAGAGTGTTTTCAATTTTCCGTTTGGAGAGACTTCTTTTCACTAATGTCCTTACGTGAAGAGCAATCTCCCAATAGGATAGAGATGGCAAAAAAAAAAAAAAAATTAAACATTTTGAAAATACACTAAGCCAATTTACTAGGAAAACATTTTAAAATCTGCTGTACCTTGTATAGACAGGTGTCTACAATTTCATTACAAACTTTTTCAAGGTCATCGGTAACTTCTAGTCTGGACCTTACAAAGTCGCACAGCTCTTCATTTCCCATGACATCCCAGATACCGTCACATGCCAGAATTATAAACTGGTCGTCCTCTTCTGACCGCTCAATTTCATAAACTTCAGGCTCTGGTGACACAAGCTGCTCTGTGGGACCTTTTCCATGGACACATTTATAATCAAAGTCACCTAGAGCCCTTGAAACTGCAAGTGACCCATTTACACGCTGAATCATCACAGATCCACCAGCATTTTGTATACGCTCTTTCTCAAGTGGATTGCTCGGTTTGTGATCCTGTGTAAAGAAGTGAACTTTCTTGCTTCTACAAAGTAATCCTCTTGAGTCTCCACAGTTGATAAAATAAATGTGATGAGGGGAAATCATAACACCCACTGCTGTTGACCCGCTTCGATCGGCACCATGTTTCTTCTCAGAAATGACTCTCATATGTTCATCAATTTGGAGAAAACCTGTTCTGATTCCATTTTTTACACTGTCCACAGACGGCTGTCCATCAGTCCCTTTGAAATCCTGGTTGCTTGTGATGTGGTCCAGCAAATGCTCACAGCAGTATTTGGCAACCTGGGAACCAGCATGACCATCATATACAGCAAAGAACGACCACCCATCAAGTCCATTTGGCAAACCAATCACAGCCGTATGTGCATCTTCCATCTCAACCCGCCAACCTTGCATGCTACTAAGCCCATAACGCAGTCCATTACCATGCCCCTGGGCATTATGCTTTTCCATCTTTGGCTTGTCTAAAAAACGCCCCCATTGTTTCTCAATTCTTTTAAACCTGTAGGGAGAGAAAAAAAAAAAAAAAAATCTTAAGCCACAAGTTTCCACAAATGGTATAAAAAAATCTTATTTGAACAGAATGCACATGTTGCTTTCCACTTAAAAATCCAACTGGTTTCCAACTCTGATTATTCTAGGCTAGAGCACTCAGGCACAAGAAGAAGCTGAATTAGACTGCATTCTGTAGACTAATTCGGATATACAAACATAAAACCAAATTAGTCCCCTCAACTGTCTTATACCTAAATTGAAAATCGTGTTCAGGCTGAAGCCAGTGTGTTACAATTCAAACGTTTAAAAACTTCAGGCAGGAAAGACTATGGATCTTCAGACAAAGATGAACTAATGATCAGTGCCAATGATCACCTGCACGGTCTGCATTAGAATGCTCTTGTACCTTACCAAGTAGCGAGTGGCCATCCTATGATTTTTGCTGAAATCTTGTGAGCTGATAACTTCCTGCCCTCTCTGCCTGTGCTGAATATTTTCAGTTACATTGGGGGAATTAACAAATGGAGCACCTCCTGCTCCTAACAAAAAGGGAGCACAAACTCTTTATTGAGCGCTCTACTTCGTTCTCTATGCCCTGGCTGCGCCAAAGGCAGAGAGCAGGAGAACTGGAGTTGCTTGCTGTACCCGCTGTTCACCCAGTCAACACCCCACTGAGAAAGGGGAGAAAGACTGTAAATAAACACTGCTTTTGCTGGTACCTGAGGCTAGAATGTGCATGTGCAGCATTAATTTCAAAATGGTGGGAGCAACATGGCACAAGTAGAACTGTGCCTGCAAGGAAGACCAAGGACAAGTATTTTATTTTTCATAAAATGGACAATTGGGGATTTAAAATTTCATTTGGCTAGGTAAGATGAAGGTCCCCTTTAACGTGCTAAACATATTGGCAGGGAAAAGAACGATCCCCACCTATAAGCAGGCTTTCCCTGTGTAATGTGTTTAATGCCCAGGCATGTGAGAGGTCTTCTGAATTACTTGCAGTTAACATTCTATACTCCATGTCTAATCTGTAGGGAGATCTACTGCAGTTTTCTACCAAGGTTAGATGTCCTTTGTCACCTGCCCCCTTCCTGACGTGCCCATTTTTTGCAATACGGCACTGCATTACTTTAACTGATAATTTCGCAGTCATGCAAAGCCGCATCCAAATTAAATTTACATTATTTTACCCACTCACAAAACGAGCTCTCTTTCAGTGGTATTTGATCGCCCGTGCGTATTCGTGGAAAAAAAAAAAAAAAAAAATTTCATTTGGGTACAGCGTTGCGCGACTGCGCAATTGTCAAAGTAACAGCGTCATAACACAAAAAAAATGGCCTGGTCAAGAAGGGGGGTAAATCCTCAGGAGAGAAAATGGTTAAACATGGCGGCGGGAGGGGGATAATTTATTTATTTCAGGTACTTATATAACACTGTCAATTTACGCAGCGCTTTACATATATATTGTACATTCACATCAGTCCCTAACCCTCAAGGGGTGTACAATCTAAAGTCCCTAAATCACATTCATACACATACTAGGGACAATTTAGACAAGAGCCAATTCACCTACCAGCATGTCTTTGGAGTCTGGGAGGAAACCCACGCAGGCATAGGGAGAACATGCAAACTCCAGGCAGGTGGTGCCGTTATTGGGATTTGAACCAACGACCCTAGTACTGCCAGGCGGACGTGTTAACCATTCAGCCACTGTGCTGCCCATTGACTGGGGCATACTGACCAGTAAAGAAGAGACATGTTTGTTTATGTTCCTTGTGAGAACAAAAAAAAATAAAAAAATTAAAGCTATGGCATAAGGAGGAATTTTGTTTTTTTTTTTTTTTTTTTGTCTCAGCCAATGAGGAGAGAGAGTCCCCAGGGAGCATAAGCTCTCGTGCACATCGCTGGATCATAATGGGGCTCAGGTATTAGGGCAGGCTGAGGGGGAAGTTGTACACAGGTTTTTTTTACCTTCATGCATAAAATGTATAAAGGTAAAAAAACCTCGAGCCTTTACAACCACTTTAATTCTGTAAAATTCACTATGCCCTGTCAAACTATCATCGCACCCAAAACTGAAAAACGTACTGGTAGTGCAGGGATATTAGAGGCCAATACTAATAAGAGGTTAGAATGATTGTAGTGAAATCAAATATATGGTAAGAAAGGATGGTACAACAAAACATTGATTTGAGTACCACTTTAACCACTTGACCTCTAGAAAGTTTGTGGTTGTGTCACACTGTACCCAAATTATTTTTATTTTTTTATTTTTTAACACATATGCAGAGCTTTCTTTTGATTTTATTTAATTACCAATGGGTTTTTTACCTATATAAAAGAAAACATTTTGAATAAAAAACACGTTTCCTTAGTTTGTTATAAAATTTTTCAAACAATCTCTCTTTATAAATTTAGGCCAAAATGTATTCTGCTGCATTTCTTTGGTATAAATAACCCAAATCAGTGTATATGATTTAGTCTGTGTGAAAGGATTAGAGTCTACAAACTATGGGATATATATCTGAAAATCAATCAGTACTGATGGTCTCTCTCAATTCTTGAGGCACAAAATTGCCAGGACAGTACAAATACCCCCCAAATGACACCTTTTTGTAAAGTAAGCAGTCTGATGTATTTAGTACAAGGCATGGTGAGTTTTTTGGAGTTGAAATGTTTTGTCAACTTTAGAAAACTAAGAAATTAAAATAAAATTGGTTTTGTTCTCCCTCTCATTTTTAACGCACTGTCACCAATGCGGTATAGTGTCATATGACTGGTGTGGCAGGGATCAGGGATACTGACTAGTGAGTTTATTAAATTTTTTTAAATGTTTAAATATTACATACTTTCATAATTTTTTTCAGTTATTGCTTAGATTAGAACGTGGATGATCACGGTTATAAATAGTTGTCACTCAGGAATGGCTTTCCATTCATGACAGCTTGCTTACTGTTGACATGCCGTGATTGGCTACAGCTAATCACATGGTGCCAGGTACAATGTGATAGCTGTGGGCCAGTCATAGAATAACAATAAGCAAGCTGGTCAATGAATGAAAGCTATTCATGACAGTTTGCTTACATAATATGTGATCCACATGACTGGTCATAGTCGTCACGATACCTGGTACCGAGCACTGTGATCCGCTGTGTCCACTGGGATCGTGCCGATGTGTACCCCAGGGAGAGTGACAGTACGCATGTGCTCTGTGATGTACAGGTACGTTGCTGAGCCTTTAGCTGCCATCCACACGCAGTACATTTTCTGTGAGCAGGTCCGCAAGTAGTTAATGTCCATAGTCTGTGCATAGTAAATAGTGTTGATGAAAGTAGTCACAAATCCTTTCATATACCCAGTAAAATGACTCAGGCGATACCAAGTTGAAAATTCCTACATACATTGTATCTGTTTATCTGCTGCCCTCTCTTTACAGCTATTTAAAGTCCGGAATTTACACCGCATTTCTGAGCTTCCAGAGCCAGGGGGCAGGGATTAGACACTGCATATTTTAGAGAGGAGAGCTCAGTGCAATCTAAAACCTAAGTGGAGGGAAATTAGATTTTAAAGGACTTCCCTACACAAACTCCTAGGGAAACAAGCACAGCTGAGGCAGACAATCACATGCTGTTTGCTGGAGCTCCCCTCCCCCATCCCCCTTGGTTAATGCCTGTCAGAAATGACTCAGATAGTAGATAGCAGGGCACCCACAGAAATTACACTCAATGCTTTGGAGGACAATCCACACTATAGAAAGGACAAACCTTGTTAATTTTTCACATCAATAGGTTAACCACTTTAAAGAAGCATACTTTCCAAATGATAGGTTTCTTTCTTAGGTATTGGGTGTTTCTAAAGCTTGCATCTTTAAAATATAATTAAAACCAAAAACATAAAATGCAGCTTACCAGCCCTTTTATGCAGTGGCTTCTTTTTTCACTTACATTTCATCTGTTAATTCTGCAAACAACATACTGTCCTTTCAGGTCTCAGAATTTACCACTGTATATATGCGGGCAGCCATGTCATGTCGTCATTACTAGGATGGAGGGCAGGGGTGAGGTTGTGTAATTACTAGGATGGTTTCTACAAAATATTTTTAATTAACCTCTCAAAATGTAAACAAATTCTCTGAAATAACGCTTTAGCCACTTGGAGTATCTTGGCGCAATGGGAGTGTCTTGGCGCGCAGTGGTAGCGGGGTGGCCCCCAGGTCAAATTTTGCAACAGGGCCCACAGGCTTCAAGCTACAGCTCTGTAGTATGGAGTTGCCTCCTCGTCCAGTGCGATCCCTCCATTAGAGTGGGAATGAGACTGCGCTCGTTGCCTTCATGCCTCAGGGGAGAGAAGACTGCTGATGGTGTCCAGCAGCTACCGCGCCAAGGGATTCTGGCCGGCCCAGCATCCTCCACCGGGCAGAAAGTTGGACTCAGCCGTGACGTCCGGTGGGCAGAGCAGCTGCGCTCCAGACTGGTTTGCAAGAAGTTCCAGTGGGTGCTGGGGACTCATGGTTCCAGTCTCCACAGCACCACAAGCAGCAGTGTTCATGCGGCCAATGCTGTGTGACTAAAGACCCAGCAGAGGATGTGGGCATCACACCACAGAAATGGAAAGGAAGGCACTGGCCTCCACCCAGCAGGTGGACCCTGGTTTCTCGGGCACAACTGCTCTCAGGTAGGCCAGGTGACATGTTTTCCCACTCGCTGATCCTGGGGTGGTTTTCCCAATCTCTGAGGGCTATTATGCGAGTCTCAGGTGGCAGTGGGGCACACTTCTTGTCTTCCCCTAGCACAGTGGAGTGCAGGAGCCTGAGCTTATTGGATCTGTATTCGGTTTTGCTTGTTTTAGCTTAAAGCCCAATAAAAAAGACACAGAAACAAGCTCCCAAGACGAAGTGTGCAGTTGGTGTGGCCAAGTCAGGCTCAACTTGGGAGATGCCGCAGTTGTGTGGATAGCTTAGTTAAGGCACTTACTGCCTGTCAGAGT